ATTATTTCAACAATAAATAAAAATAAATAATACAGAAAAAACAATAATACCAAAAGTAAATGTATACAAACTAAACCAAACAAAAAGAAACTAAACTAATAAAAACAACTACACACACGCTTCTAAAGAATATCTAAAAAAATCATTCATCCAAGATCTCCGAGCCAAGCCTTTCTCCCCACCCAGGAAGGAAAGGCAGGACTCTAGAAGATATTTTGCTAATTAATTAAAAGTAAAAATCTGTTGCGCGCAACACAAAACTTTCACTTACCGCTCTACTTTGCATAGAAATTATTTTCTAACCTATGTTGGCCTATTGTAAAATATTTGAAGTGCATTTTTAACCAAGCTAAAGCTCAAAGCATACAGCTAACAAATCATTAATACCATTACAATAACACAAATACTATTTATTATATCAACAGTTGATTGATTGTACGACTAATAGTTATGAAACTGTTATTTTCCATTGCAAAGTTCATTAAAATGGAATATCGAGATTTTCATTGCCTGTAACAGATAAGAGAAAAGTTGTCACACTAATTGTATGAGGATACAATTAGGATATCACAAAGGGAAAATTCATCAAATTATTAATTAATTTGATTTTGTAAAAAGTTCCATGATGAATTTTCGTAATAAACAGACTATAGATATCTAATTATTTAAATATCACATCCAGAGTTATTAGATTATAATAAATGAATTTAATATTATAATATCCAAGAAATATTTTTATATTTTACTTCTTCTTTCACACAAGTAAAATGAAATTGATTTTTAAACAATATCAATGCCTTGATTCGTTAGATTTTTAATACTGTTTTTGTTCAAATTTTGATTTACATTAAATAATGTTAGTTTTCAGATTTTTTTTTTCTTCACTCTCCGTTACCTTCAACAACTTTATTTATTAGATATTATTTTTTTCAAAATTCTACGTTTTCCTATGATATATTGAAGTTGTAAGATCTGACTAATATTTCTGTAGATTCATTTTTGACCTCAATAAGCATATTTATTTATTTTTTCTCCTTTATTCAATTGTCAAATTCATTAAAAAGTTATATTTAGTCATTTTTTATATAGCTCATAACAATGAGAGATAGTTAATTATTTAAAATAAACCAAATTAAAGGTACTTCAGAGGAAGAAATTTTGAACATTTAAGCCCTGTTAAGCGATATCAACAGAGATGAGACCTAAATGAAATTAAAAATTACTTAATTATACATTGATACACTGAGTTTAATCAAAGTCGTTGGAGCCATTTTTGAGAAAATATAAAAATGTGTAAAATCGATAGTATAAAGTAGCACTTCCGGTTAGCCAGTTTCGACGAAAAATTTGCTGTAAAATCCCAAGGATATACTTAAGTTAAATACGCATTTTCAGTTTCATACGACTTAATACGACTTGCTTTTTAGTTTTTCAGTTAGACTGTTCACAGACACAGATCCAGACAGACAGGCACACAGACACACACACAGACACACACACACAGACACACACACACACACACACACACACACACACACACACACACACACACACACACACACACACACACACACACACACACACACAGACCCTGTTGGGGAACTGGGTTAATTTGGACTCAGGGGACCTCAAAACATGTATTTCCGTTGAAAACTCAGATTCAAATATTTTCACGTTCATATATAAAATCTTAAAGCTTTTTCGTTCGTTAAAATGAGAATCTTAAAATTACTCTTCCCACTGAAAAATTAATTTGTATTCGTTTTGTAACTATTAAATTTAAAATTTAGAGCTGAAGCATATAAAACGTTAACGAATTTTCTAGATTTTTTTAATGCTTTGAGGTTCCCAAGTAATAGTTTCATAATCATAGTTATTACATAATCGTAATTTACACAGTAAACTTTGTAATAAATAGTAACTAAATAATAATAATATATAATGTTTGCTTATTCTAGTGAACCTAGTCGAAACATAATATTTACAGAAAAGTATTTTTCCTCTTATCAATTTATCTTACCATAATTTTAGCTACCCCGCTACCCCGCGGTAATAGATCGTGATGCACAGATATTTCCTTGTACTATTTACATTATTATTTCTAAGTCCAAATATAATAATAAGTCTACACCGTTCATGACTCTTTAACATTTTAACATATAAAAATAGATGGATAAAATATAAATCCTAAAACAATAAATAAATCATAATAATACACTGAAATCTTTTATTTAATTCTTCAAACAAAAAATTAATACAGTCGTAATGGACCGTTTTTTTTTTTTAGTAATAAATTTGTTTTTAAAACTAAAAAAAAAATCGTATTTTTAATAATTAAACTAAAGGATAGAATTGAAAAAAATATTTTTAAAATATGTTTGAGAGAAAGAAAGAATCACAGAAGGAAAATCCGAAAATTTAAAGAAAAAAAATAGCTTTCCAAAAATTAGGCACAATTAACCGCTTTTTTCCAGCTGTGATTTAATAACTTAGATTAATAAATCAATTTAAAATTCCATGTTTGAGAAAATTAATGTTATTTTATGTCATTCACATTTCCTTTCATCTTAACCCAAAAATTTATTAGATTACCTTTATTTGGAATTGATAAATATATACGAAGTTCAAAGAAAGAAAAAAAAATATGTTCTCATACTTAATGACATTTACTTTTATTATTATTATTTTGCTGTTTGATTTATTTTTATTTATTGTACATAGTGTAAATGAGATATTCTATCATTATTACCAGAATCCTAGAATGTGAACGAATTTTATATTACTCAATAAAGAAATATGTTTATAAAGTATTCTTAATTTTTGGAGTTTATTTTAGTTTTATTTTGTTAAATACCAGTTTTTGTCAGTTCTTTTTTATTATTTGCAATAACTAAATAGAATTCATTTTATTCGATTTTATCGTAATTACATGATTACTTTTTTATAATGGATTGTACATAAAATTCCATTACATAATACATAAAAGTGAATTTCTGTACAGAAAAATAAGAAATAAATAAGTAAGAAGCAACTCGGTTTCTTCTCGGTATTACTAAAATTGTAACTCTTGATCAATTTCGATAGTAAGATAGTTACCAAGAATTTTACTAACTATCCAAATGAGTGAAATAATGAAGTTTTAGTTGATGCAGAAGGTCTACTGTGCTGTTAAGATTTACAGTATAACCACCTGCTGCTAAGGTCATGAAAGCATCACTACCAATTTCGGGCTAGATTGCGATTTTCCGAAAGATAGGCAGTATTACTGAGTAACATTATATAAATTTTAAAAATTACTTTAATATTTATTTAATTTAACTGTACTGTATAACTTGTTATTTATTTATAATCAAATTATTTTCTTATTATTAGTATTTAATTTCCAAGAAAATATAAAGAAATATTCATAAGTATAAATAAATTTAACAATTGAAATAATAAAAACATAATTTCATTACTATAAGCATTGATTATACTTATAAATAATTAATTTGTATTATATATAAAATAATTATAATTTATAGTGTTTATTATTTAAAATATATAATAAAAAGAATAAAATCTTATTTTCGTACAGTATAGAAAAGGAACTCGACGAAGTAACTGCGATCCTAAAGTGGTCCTTTAGAAGTAATACTACTTCCAATGTGCTTTTTATATCATTTCTTTCACGTTACCTCTTAACAACTTCATTGATAATATCCCTTGTCAGGATTGATTTGACTGAAGAAATCAGGACAAAAGGACTGATGTTGGTAGCGAATTAATAGACCTAGCTACTACCGACATAATGAATGCACGGTCTTTTGTCCGTTCGGAGTAGGACTGTAAATAGATGAATCTTGTATGCTAATTCCAAGGGACCCCGACCCATTTATTTTTCATTACAAATTCTGACTTGCGAAAACTATGAAATTATTGTTAAACACTTTAAAACGGGCGAACTATACTTTTAATGAATTGTTTTTCCGGCAAAAAAATTTTTTTTTTCATTCACATACCATTAAACAAAAATCTACTACAACATATTGTGCTTTTAAATTCATTTTGTCATTCATAATGGTATTTTTTTTTGTTGGTGAAAACCTCTAACATAAAATCCGATAAAAACCCATTAGGGTATAAAAAGAACATCAATAAGGATTAAAAAAAGTACGTTATTCAAGTTTTTTTTTTATTCATTCCATTACATTTCTGAATGGTCCAATATGAATATGTTTCGTTTCAAACTTTTTCCTTTCATTAATCTAACTTTTTATTTTTATTTTATTTCTTTAAGTATGGGATATCTAGAGAGTTTACCCTTAACTGGCCAAGTCCAAAAAAAAAAAAAAAAAAAAACTGAAAAGTTTGGACTTAAATTATATTTTTAAATTATGTAATTCAATTTTTTTTTTAATTAAAGGTTAATCTTGTAATAAGTAAGGTTATTTTTATATTTAAAAGATACGAAAATAATTGTTTTCATTTTAAGCTAGATACGATATTTATATTTGTAAGAATGACATTACATAAATGAATATTTATGAAGTTAAGTAGTATTTATTTGAGAATATACAAAAAAAAATCCGAATCACCAAAATAAGTAGTGTTCGGAAATACGAGGGTTATAATTTAAAAATTTCGAATCGTAATAAAAAAAGTTAATTTAAAGGGCAGGAAATGTGAATATTACTATTTGTAAATACAATGCATTAATTTAATTCGTATATTTTTTTAAAACACCTTAAACGCCTTGATAAAAATACATATAATATATAAAAATCTTTTAAAATTGCGTTTATATTACCAGTTGTAATGATTTTATATTAATTAATTGCATTTTAGTTTGATTGTTTATCTAGTACCGATCACTTTTCATGTAGAAGAAAAAAAATCGTTTCACACTTTAATTATTTCGAATGTTTAAGCAATTTAAAATATAAAAAATCTTACCTTATAGCGCTTTTTTCATTTTTTTTTCCGGATTAACAGGATGTTTTTAAATGTAGTTTTGGGTTATGCACAGGAACACTATAAAATCTTCGAAAAGACACAGCCATTTTTGCACAGTTACACAGCACTTTCACAGATCGCGAACGTCTTCGACGATCTCGAAGCGTTGGGTGACACACGGTGCTTCCAGCATGGCGAGCGGCGGGCGACTGAGTACTGCGTCGCTCCACGTGGGCATTCCCCCCTCCCCGCCGCCCCCCGTCCTCATCATTTACTTACTTCCCAATGGTTAATTCAATTGTGGCCTAACTAACCTTCCGACTATTCCTCTCACAATTAGCTCCTAATTATAATCAGTCTCAAAAATCAAAATTAAAAAAAAAAAAGATAGTAACAATTATTATGGGTATAGAGTAAATTATCTGAAGACATATCTCTGTGACAAGATCCTCTTTCAAGCGTAAACAATAACGATTAAAAATACCAGAATAGATAGACATATAAGCATCGACTGAATATGTATATATATGTAGTAATTCTTAAACCTTTTACGTGATTTTTTTTAAAACTTATTAAGTGAAATATCCTAATGCATAATTTTACAATAACTAAAAATTGGAAAGCCCTATATTGATATTTGAGCAAGGCTGCTTACACACACAATAAGATGGTTGTTCTGGATAGTAAATGTTTCAGATGAATTGAACTACATTAGAAAAAATGTTCAAACACCAAATTTTATTGTTAACGCTAAAGCGTAAACAGAACTGGCTGTAAACAGAACGAAACATTATAGCTTAAAAAATACATATTATTCACCAATTATTTTTCTGATTATTCAAGAATCAATCGACACCACCTTTAAAATCCAAAATTCTTTTGTATTTAGGGGTGGAAATTGGTGAGACTTAACTGTGTCGCCTAAAGTTACTTTTTGGCTTCTATTCACCCCCTTAACTTTCTCCAGTACTTCTCCAGTTCACACTGTTCCAGAATTTTCAATGAGATAGGCTATATTCATTGTAGGATTCTATTAGGAACTCATATTGTATAGCGTTGTTCTATCAGCAGAAAATATTTATCTGAAACACAGGGAGAAGGAAAGCTAAATTCTCATTTTTTTTTCCAATTTCTCTCCTAACTTGACCTAATTTTAAATAAACTATTTATACTTTGTTAGACAAAAAGACCTAGGAACGAAAATCCATCTATAACCGCATTTATAATTTAATATATATATATATATATATATATATATATATATATATATATATATATATATATATATATATATATATATATATAATATATATATATATATATATAAATACCCGACTTGTCTTCTGAAGATACTTAATAAGTAATACAAAGTCATTTCATTGTTACATAAGTATATATAATTTCTATCTTATGTGATATATTAATGTCAAGATTTAAATAAATTTGATTGAACGAATTCATTAACTGGGGGTTATTTCATCGAGAAAAAAAAATCATGAATGTTGGGTGTTCATTTATTTTTTATCGATACAGATTTTGATTTTAACACCTTATTGTCTTAACAATTAGTATAGTTTTTTTCAATTGAAATGTGTTAATATTTTCACTGGTTATTATTTTTTTAAATGTTTTATCCAAGTAGACTGTATTTCATTTTAGTAAAAAACAATGTTTTTATTATACCATGTTCCATATAATTTATATCATTTATGATAAATTGATGTTTTTGTTAAACGATATATCGTTTTAATGAAAAATAATACGAATAGTAAAAAAACGATTCCCAGCCCTTCATACACACACACAAACACACACACACATATGTATGTCTATAAATATAATGAATTAAAGGTGAGCTGGATGAGGCCCAATAGGTAATCAAAGTTAAACAACATCGAGCGTGGTAAGTACTTGAAAGATGGACCAAAAATGAAAGCCCGAGATGTTGTAGTATCTTTTAGTACCCAATTGAGTAAGGCCCGTCAATTCGACTGGAGGCAACTCACACTGACCGGGCGTTGTAGTGATGACCCAATCCCATAGACTTTAATCGAGAATCGTGATGTGGTTATTCATATTAGTTGCCAACTAGAGGTTTGGTCCATGGGTGGATTGTTTCAGCGAAAGAAATATAAGTGTTAGTGCGACTGCTGCCTCTGAGCAGCCATAATTGATGAGTCTAGAATAGGGGTCTCCAAACTGTTTGACCAGCGGGCCACATAGAGACCTTAACCCAAGTCCCGAAGTTTGTGATAAAAATAAATTTGTTCTATAAATCACTTTAGATGCAATAAATGTTGTAGTAACTTCGTCTTTGAATATTTGTTAAAAATTTTAAATAGTTTTTAAAATTTTACCAAATAATCCGAGAAACTTTTGCGGCCCGGATTAAAGGTGCTCGCTGGCCTGATCAGGCCGTAGGCATGAGATCCCTGGTCTAGACCAATCTATCATTATCCTTGAATCCGAGCGTGTCGATGGGTTGGGCACTGCCAGATTGGCGCAAAAGAGATAGCGTATGTACTTATGAGTTTCCGGCCGCTGCATCAAGGAGACAAAGATCTGTAGCAGCATGGAGTTATGTGATCCCCTCCAGGCCATCTGTTCTCATGCAAACAAGCCGTCGGTGGACAGACCCCGCTACAGCACAACCCATCCCCCCTATATTTCTATAAATTACGTGATGTTATATTCCTTGCAATTATTTATTAGTTTTTTTGGTAATTCTATTTGGCTTAACTTTGTAATAATTGGACTTTATTTAAAACTAGATAATCAAAGGATTATAAAATATGAAAAAAATAGTTAGCTTGGACAGTAAAAAACACCAGTAAATTCAAGTCCTTCGTACAAAAGTTATAAATCAAGCGTCGTTTGTAATTTAACAACCAACAGTAACGCCAAAGTTCTAAAATAAAACATCTGGAGAAAAAAAAAATCTGTTTTAAATAACTGAATAAATTTTCAAATATTTAAAATGTTTCCTAAATCAAAATTATGGATAAATCTGTAAATTAGCAGATGACGTAGAATGAATATTCTTCTACGAAAAATAATTTCTGTTTTCACAGTTGGAATGTTAATTAAAAATTAGCCAATAGACCGTAGAATAGATATAATATATATAACAATAATTCTCTTCTGAAAAAAACATATATTGAGATAAAATACTAGGATTATTTCTTTTTCTTTCTTGTCTTATTGAATTCCTAGTTTAAAAAATCAGCGTTATCATTTAGGATTCAATACCACTAGGCTAATGGTAGTGCAGAGAGGTGATTTGGAGATCACGCTCAAATGCCAGGTTTTCCCTCTTAATCAATGAGTTAATTCAGAGTATCTACTGTGTAAAAGTTGAGTTTGCCCCAGGAGGGTCTCCTGGTCCCAGGATCGATTTATAGCTGATGTAACGCAATGAATAATTACCTGCCAAAAACAGGATTCAAAATTGGAGCCTTGAGCATTTTTATAATATTGGTACCCAGTGTGTTCTGGTGGAGTAATGTATTTTTTAAAAATAAATCACTATCGTTTCTGGATAGTTTTAAGAGAACATGGAGACTTGATAAGAATGATTTTTCTTTCTTTTAAAACGGAACCTTTTAATATTTTCATGATTTATTCATCGAGTTCTCATATATTACGTAAAAGATAATATATCAGGTGATTATTGATAAAAAAGAATAGACTAAAACTTCATTCTTCAATATTTTAATGAGCTAAATCAAATATATGTAAACTGAATAATATCGTATCATATAGCAGATTTAACTTTTGACTAAATATCTTAGTTATCATTGAAAGGATAAATATTGGAGTTAAATACTTAATAAGTAATTATACACAAAAAATAAACTTTAGTCAGAACGAAAACATTTAAAAAACATAATTATGAATATATATATATATATATATATATATATATATATATATATATATATATATATATATATAAATCTCACATTATTATTTAAAATTAATATAAATTTAAAGAAAGCAAACGGGGTGTGAGTGGCACTTAAGCTTCTAGGCGCCACTCTTTCGGTCCACACGAGAATATTATATTTCAGCAACCTATGTGGGTCAAGATTTTAAGAGTATTTTCTTTTTTATATTTTTGTTTTATTATTAATTAATCAATTATTAAAACTATATGTAATTAATAATCTTAATTATAACCATTACTACATTTTAATTAGTAATATATCTAATTACAGAACTTTTATAATACAGTTTATCAAATAAAGAATCTTTGTTTAGCTTAATTAACATGGAATAATTTATAACCATGTTTGTTTTTAATATATGAAGGGTATGGTAAAAACTATAATTTATAATTACAGCGTCATGTGATTATCTACGTCTTCTCTCTAAAAAATACTGAAAAGTAGTTTTTAAATAATACTGAACGGCAATGTTGTACATTATATATTTTTAGTTTGCCAAGTTAAAACATAATTATATCTCTACATAATAGTATGGTTTTCATAAATTATTATCAATAAATCTTTCGTCATTCTCCAATATCTTCTACGACTTTATATATTTGAAATCAACAAAGTACGTTACTTTGAGTAAACATAAATTTAGTTTAGATTTAAATTTATTATTGGAAATAAAGTTATTAAACGTTTTATTAATTATCATGTATTTCTCCCTACCCGTTACATTGTTAGAGATATTTTCAGCAACATGTACTTTTTAAGGCATTCTCTTACAATAGTACAATAAAATATTTTTTTAACAATCTGCAGTATGAGAATTCTTTGCATTATATGTTTGATTTTAATTCAAACTTGCAATAAATATTACAAGTTTGAGTATAGTTCTGTGCAAATTCCATTTAGTCACCATAGAGAAATTTATTATCTTTAAATATGTAATTTAAATGTTGAAATCATTAGTCATTAGTTTTCCTTTAATCTCCATTGCGTTCTAAAACTTTAGATACTTGGAATGATTTTCTTTAAAATCCACAGTTTTCAACTATTATACTTAAACATATTTAATATTACACATTATTTCTATATCACCACTCATATTCCCAGAAATTTGTTTGCAACCAAGTGGAATCATTGATCCTTCTGTTCATTCTAAAATTCATTGTTCAGCCATTTATGTAATATAATAATTTTAATTATGTCTAATAAAACTAATTATGGATCAATGAATGCCTCAATAGTAGAGTCCACGTGGAAGATCAAAAAACCAGACGGATATATATATATATATAATCAACAGATTCTGTTTAGCTGCACACTGACAACTAGAAAGCAATAGCCCAAGATAAGCA